TTCCTGCCTGAGTCCTAGAGCAGCATCTTTAACTATTTGCTGCACAGAGCGCAAGCTGAGGCTGCAGAGCTGGGAGCCACAAAGGCCACTCGAGCAGGCTGAGGTCCTGCGGCAGAGTGGAAGGACCACAGAGTCCACGTTTGGGATCTGCCTCTTGTCTGGTACAAGCTGTGTGACTTTGGGGCCCTCCTTGAGCTTCAGTGTCATCATCTTTAAAATGGGGACATTAATAACTATGTCATGGGTTGTTATGAGGAAATGAGAGTTCAGAGCCCATGGTCTCATCGGGGACATCAAATCATCAGATTATAACACAACGTGCAGTGAGGGCCGAACTGTTCATAATAATCATGAGCGACTTTTCCTGAGGGTTTCCTCAGTGTCACACACTGGGCTAAGAGCATCACAAGCCCTCACTTGATCCCCACATCGACCCCATGAATTGGCCTCTATTATTTCTCTGTTTTACAGATGATGCTGCTGAGACCCCGATATGTGAGATGACTTGCCCAAGGTCCCACAGCCAGTAATTTCAGTGCAGGCAGTCAAGCCAAGCATTGAGGGAGACGGAGGAAGCGGGGAGCAACTGTGCCTGGACGGGTGAGGGTGGAGGACTGCACAGGTTAGGGGGTTCATTCTGGCTCCCGCCAGGGGAGTCAGCTGAGAGCAAAGGTCCAGAGACTGTGGGGTGAGGGTGGCCTCGCATCCCAGTGGGGTGGGCTGTGGCTCCTCATCAGGAGGGGCTGGCTGTGGTCCTGAGCATCCCTCGTTGTTGAAGGTAATAAACCTGCCTCTTTATCCCGCTCCGAAGAGGCCGTTTTGTTACTCTTCGGTTCTCCCGGCACCATAGCGCCAATAAGCCCCGTCTTTATGACCAACAGCAGACACATTGAGCTGGTTAGGGACGCTCCCTCGCCCGGTGTTTGCCCAGCATCTAAGAGGAGGCCTGGGCCCTATTTCCTCACTCCTTTGTAGCAGAGCTGAGCGCCTTCTTTCTTTTTTAATAGTTCCACTCCAGGAGCCGAATCCCCTAATCTCTTTTCCAATCTTTGGTTACAACACTTGATTAATCCACAGCCATGCAGTGTGTGTGAAAGGTCTCCTGGTTCCTGGGAGGGCTGGCTGTGATGACATCATCCTAGAAGTCGCTGACTGGATTGGGGACAGGGCTGATGCTCACTGAGTGCCTGGCACACTATGTGCCGGGCCCTGGGCTACACAACGGACATTGAACACTTCCCAGAGTCAACCCTACAAGGTGCATGACCTTGGGCAAGTTACTTGACCTCTGTGGGCCTCAGTTGCCTTATCAGTAAATTGGGGGTAATAATAGGACTCACTTCCCCGGAATAAATGACTTTCTCCAAGTAAAGCAACTTAGAGTAGTGGTATCTCCACAGACCAAGCCCTATAGAGGTGATGGGGATAAGGCTTGGGGACTAGAGATCCTGCCCAGGTTTTAGCTGGGATTTAAATCCAGGCCTCTCTGGCTCCTAAACTCATCCTTATTTCACCACATTCTGTTGGCATCCAATCCAAGCTCTTCCTTCTATGGGAAAGGCAAAACCCAGCCTGGAGGGGTGCAAAGCAAAGGCAAAACCCAGCCTGGAGCCACTTCCCCAAGAGCACACAGCAGCAAGCGAGGAGGCCGCGTAGGACAGCGCCCTGCATGAGGAACAGCCACTTCCCCTCTCTGGGTCTCAGTTTCCTCACCTGTAAAATGGGTGAAGGGGTTGGTTGGACTTGAAGGTCCCTAAGGCTCTGCTGGTTCCATATTTGAGTGGTAGAGCCTGAACTTGAATAACAGAGATTTGTCATGGTAGAAGGGACCATAAAGCTCAGCCCGTTGAAACTCCTGGTCCCAGAGCTCTGCACACTCCACAGACCCATTGTATTTGGCTTGCAGAGCGTTTTTAGAATTTACATTTGAATTTGTTTAGACAGGCTGCTGTCTCCGGGCCCCACAGCTGGCTCCGCTCCCTAAAGCCTCACACCAGGTCTCCTTATACCCTTCGCACCCTTATCTCCTTGGTCCCTGATCTGCTTCAAACACCTCATTGCTCAGAAAATAGTAATTGATATTGTTAATGAGCTCTTTCTATGGGTCAGACGCTGTTCTAAGCCCATTCATAGGATCTAACTCATCTAACCCTCATAGCATGCCTCTATGCAGGTATCCTTACGAGCCCATTTTACAGATGAGGAACACAAGGCTCAGGGCAGTTAAGTAATTTGCCTAACACCCTTGGGCAGGACCAAGGCCAAAGAAGGAGCATAATTTACCAAATTGGCAAAATAGATGATCCGGATTTACTGTGCAGTGCTCTGTGCATGAAACAGCCTCAGCCAGGGCAGGCATTTTTGGGGGGCTCCCTCTGGCCCTGCCTTTTGGGGTATGGTAGAAAGAAGGAGAAGAAGAGGTGTGTCCCCCAGCTCCACACTCTTTCCACCAGACAATAACCACCCTCTACCCCGCCCAGTCTCTCTGGGGGTCCTATATCCTAGCGGCTGCAGAGGATCAAAACAGCGAGTTAAAAGCGAAAACCCGCAGCATTTTCTTCACAATTCCCTCTGCCTCTTGAGGAAGAAGGCACAAGTGTTCGCAGGAGCTTTCAAGTTCTTGGGAACAGAAATGAGATGCTCTCATGGCTCTTCCTCTGCGTTTGAGGCCCTCGGTGCAAAGTGCTATTATTAGCATTGCCTTCACTGTCTTCCAAACAGGCTTCCCCTGGAAGAAGTAATTAAATGCATTATTCTATGCAAAATAAAAGCACATATCCACATTTGCAGCCTCTGACACTATCCCACTCATTTTGTGATTTTTACAGTTGGGAAGCTTTTTGTTGCATTCCATCCAAAGAGGGCAATTCGCCCTGGCACAGGGCCCATGGAGGGTAGAGGGCAGGCCCTGGTGAGAGCCTAGCAGTTGGATGAGGTGGTTTGTTTGGGATTTTGAGGCTGGAAATTGGGGCCATGTGAGAAATGGAAGCACTGAAGTATCTGGGCCAGGCAGGGCTGAGCCAAATACCTTCAGACCAGATGGAGAATGAGGATTGGAGGGGTTGGCCACCAGCCCCAGGTGACCCAGCCTTGGGGGATGCCCTGCCTCCTCTGAGCTGGGCAATTCCTAGCAAGAAGACTCCTGTCTGAATCTTGCCTACTGGAGCCGGAGACTGAGCTTTCTTTCTTTCCTTTCTTTCCTTTCTTCCTTTCTTCCTTCCTTCCTTTCTTTCCTTCCTTCCTTCCTTCCCTCCCTCTCTCCCTCCCTCCCTCCCTCCCTCCCTCCCTCCTTCCTTCTTTCCTTCCTTCCTTCCTTCCTTCCTTCCTTCCTTCCTTCCTTCCTTCCTTCCTTCTCTTCTTCTTCTTCTCCTCCTCCTTTTCTTTCTTTCTCTCTCTTTCTTTCTTTCTTCTTTTCTTTCTTCTTCCTTTCTTTCTTTTCTTTTTTTTTTTTTTTGAGACAGAGTTTCCCTCTCGTTGCCCAGGCTGGAGTGCAATGGCATGATCTCGGCTCACTGCAACCTCCACCTCCCAGGTTCAAGTGATTCTCCTGCCTCAGCCTCCCGAGTAGCTGAGACTACAGGCACCCGCCACCATGCCCGGCTAATTTTTGTATTTTTAGTAGAGAAGCGGTTTCTCCATGTTGGTCAGGGTGGTCTCAAACTCCTGACTTCAGGTGATCCTCCTGCCTTGGCCTCCCGAAGTGCTGGGATTACAGGTGTGAGCCACCATGCCCGGCCTGAGCTCCTTTCTTAATTCCTCCCTCTCCTTTAGCCTCCATGGCAAATCTGTTTCCTGGCGTTGCTTGTTTGATTTACTTAACAGTTTCAAATGCATCTGCTTTTCTCCCTGGAGGCCAGGGCCTTAGTGTGGTCCCACTGTAACAGGAGAGCAGTGGCTAAAGGCACAGGACTGTGGGGTAGGAGCCGGGGTCTGAATCTTGGCTTTACTGGGACTTGCGCTGTAACCTTGGACTAGGGTTGCTGGATTCAGGAAGTCAAAAATACAGGCTGCCCATCTGAATTGAATATGCAATGTTTGGGATATATTTATGCTTTAAAAAATTCCTTGCTTATCTGAAATTCAAATGTAACTGCTCATTCTGTATTTTATCTGGCAACCCTACCTTGGACAAATTCTTTAACTTCTCAGTTCCCATGTCTATAAAATAGGGGTAATAATGGCACCTACTTCAAAAGTGGTTCTGAGGGTGAAATGAGTTAAAAACACAAAATGCTTAGAACAGGACAATAATGACCATCTCACTTAATTAGTGTATTAAGAAGTGCTTCATACATTGAAAAATGCCTTGCAAATGCTGTTGATGTGTTATTTTTGCTGTATCTTCCCTCTCCCCTGACTTCATCAGAGGCAGCAAACCAGCAAAGTGCGGGTGAGGGAGAAAGAGGTTAGACCTAAGAGGAATTTCCTGGCAGGAAGGGTCAGTCACATCCCTCTTGCACAGGAGCCCCAAAACTTGAAGATGCTGCAGCTGGTGACATGTGGGCTGGGGAGATGGGTGGTGGGGCTGTAGCATGCAGACAGTGACAAGCTCTCTAGGACAATGAGAATGAATGAACCATGACTCCCCCAGTCACAGAGATGAGTCACACAAACACTGCCAGGCTGGCTGAAAGAAACCAGATACGAAAGAATGCATAACATGGGACTCTATTTTTTTTTTTTTGAAACGGAGTCTCGCTCTGTCTCCCAGGCTGGAGTGCAATGGCGTAATCTCGGCTCACTGCAACCTCCTCCTCCTGGGTTCAAGTGATTCTCCTGCCTCAGCCTCCCGAGTAGCTGGGATTACAGTCGCGCACCACCAAGCCCGGCTAATTTTTGTAATTTTAGTAGAGATGGGGTTTCACCATGTTGGTGAGGCTGGTCTCAAACTCCTGACCTTGTGATCCACCCACCTCGGCCCCCTAAAGTGTTGGGATTACAGGCGTGAGTCACTGCACCTGGCAGGACTCTATTTATATAAAGTTCAGAAGCAGGGAAAACTGAACCACATTGTTGAGGGAACACACAAACAGAGAAAGGTAGGAAGCGACTGCCTGGGACCCCTGGGGAAGAGAAGGTCAATGGGAAGGGATCCACAAGCTGCTGGGTGCTGGCGAGGTTCTGGTCCATGACTGAGGTGGTGGCTACCCTGCTTTGAAAGAATTTGTTAATGGAACATTTGTTTCATGCCCTTTTCTGGACGTGAGATTTATTCCACAATGCTAAAAGGTTACGGGAGAGGGAAGAGGGTCACGCTTGGGAAGCACCTGAAGCTCACTTTCTTCCTGGAAGGCGCCTGAAGTTCTACCTTCTTCTGGAGAAGGGCCTCCAGGGAAGAGGTGGAAGCTGACCTTTCCGTGCCCCCAAAGTTAGAAAGTAAAGCTAGAAAGCGGGGCAGCCTGCGTGTTGCCAGCCTGAGTCAGACTCATTAAGATTCCTTCTCAATCTGCCCTGGGGTCCACAGGGCAAAGAGAAACCTGTGAACCGTACAGGCAACTGGGGTGAGACAGAAAGATTGGCAGGGAGCAGGGAGAGAGGTGGAGGTGAGGAGGAAGACAGGTGGGGTTGGGGGGGATGGAGTGGGGAAGAGAGATGGGGAGAGAGGCTGAGGACCCTAGGCCAGCACGCCAGGTCTGAATTCTTTAGCCAATCCATTCTAATGACAGCTCTTCAGTGTGCTCCTCCCTGCCTCCCCCAGGAGCAGGGGTAATTACTGAAGATAATGATCACATAGGGGGCAGGGGGCACTTTTCATTAACCCCAGACCTGGAATCCAACTGCCCTTCCCGAAGAGGAGTCTGCCCCTCACTCCATCCTGCAGGGCCCACTCCTGCCAGCCCCTACCTTGAGTCGTGCCACTGGCAAGTCCCTGTGCCCGTCTTCACCTTAATTCCTGGGTGAGTGACATTTAAGGGCGAGCTCTTCATTGGGCCATAACAATTTACAAGCCAGGCAGTGGTGGGTCGTTGTGAGGCCCGCGGGGAGCGGTGGCCCTTTATCATCTGCTGGGGTGAGGGGCCAAGTGATGCATGGCTCCTCATTAAAGCCTCGCCAACACCACCAGGGAAGTAAAACATTTTAGCAACCCATTCACTTTTCATTTCCCAAGCCACCCTCCGCGTCAGGAAAGCCACTCCTGACTTAGGGCAGCTGGGAAGCACAGAGGCCTTTAAATGTCTTATTTATATCTTCCCATCCCTCCCTCGGGGCGCCGTCCAAGGCAGGAAGCCAGCAGGGCTTCGTGCGGCTGTCCCAGTCCCTGAGCTGCTCCCCCTCTCAGCCCTGAGAACAGGCACCCCAGAACCATCTCTTGCTGGGGTTTACAAAGTGGTTTCATTCACCCACCACATCTTCACTGAGCTCCTCAACCGCTCAAGGTCTGTCGGTAGTAAGTGCAGAGGCTGGATTTGAACTTGGGTATCTGGGGCACATTTAAAGCCAGACCTTCCCACAAAGAGGTGAGACCAAGCAGGGGGAGCTCAGGGGAGGTGACCTAGGGTTGGCCCTGAAGCCGGCAGAGGTTTGGAATGGGGATGCCCAGAGGCCATCCCTGGGAGACAACTCATTTTTGCAGGAGAAGGTGGGGTGGGTGGGAAGACAGAGTGACCTTTCTTTCTCATCTCAAGCTTCACTACTGTGAGGCTCTGAGATTTTCTCTTTCCATTTGTGCCTCTCTCTGGCTTGTCCTCTCTCCCCTGTCTTTTCTTTTTCCCCCTCACCACGCTCCTACTTCCTCCTTTTTGTCTGTCTCCATCTCTCGGGCATTTTCTAGCGAAACAACCTGGTGAGCTGGGAAGAGGAAGTGACGTGGCCTCAGCCTGCGAGCACCTGGCTTCACAGCCAGCTTTGCCGCCACCGGCTGAGTCTGGACATCTCTGAGCTGCTTCTGTTTCTCACGTGCAAAATGGGTCTCAGCCTGGCGTGGTGGTTCACGCCTGTAATCTCAGCACTCTCAAATGAGTGTGAGACCCTGAAAAGTCCTGGAAATCTCCTCATCTCCTCTTGAGAACTTTTAACATCAAGAAAAGCCCTGACCAGGCGCGGTGGCTCACACCTGTAATCCCAGCACTTTGCGGGGCCCGAGGCTGGTGGATCACGAGGTCAAGAGATCGTGACCATCCTGGCCAACAGGGTGAACCCCTGTCTCTACTAACAATACAAAAATTAGCTGGGTGTGGTGGCAGGCACCTGTAATCCCAGCTACTCAGGAGGCTGAGGTAGAAGAATTGCTTGAACCCAGGAGGCAGAGGTTGCAGTGAGCTGAGATTGCGCCACTGCACTCCAGCCTGGGCGACAAGAACGAAACTCTGTCCCCAAAAAACATAAAAAATAAAATGGGTCCAGCTGTCTTTCATTTTCAACAGTGGCTGCAAAGATGAGGAGCCCAGCCCAGAAGAGGTATCCAGTGGATGCTGGTACCGGAGGCAGACCTGGCCCATAGTCCATTACAAATCTAGGCTCCCCTTTCCTCGGCGTGGAGTGTCTGGCTGAGAAGTAGCTGTCCAGCCAGGAACCCCATTTTTCAGACCCCTTTGTATATAGGTGGGGCTGAATTTCTAGTTCTTCCCCATGGACTGTGTGCAGGGCGTGGTGTGCTGCTTTCAGATGGAAGGATCAAGAATTGGTCTTTCCCTGCCTGGCGGCTGCACAAGGAAAAATCGGAGTTCTTCAAGGGGGCAGAGCCAGAAGAGGGAGGGAGCAGGGGGAGGCCGCCCTGACAGCAGAGCTGGTGTTGGGCTGTGACTGAGCAGGAAACGAACTTTCACAGGCTGAGCCACTGACACGGGGCTAGCCCGTTACAGCAGTGGCGTTACCGCTTCTTTTTCCCATCCCTCCCTGGCAGCTGTCTCGATCCCTGTCCAGGCCTCATGATCTGGAGGGCGTGCCTCCCGTTCCCTCTGACCTAGGCCCTTGCCCTGACTCAGGCCTGGCTGCCCTGGTGTCCACGGTGGGCCAGATGTGTCCATCTTGGCCATCAGACTCAGGGCAGACTGGGGCCTTCTGCCCAGGTGCCAAGTGCAGTCCGCACCTCAGTGGATGCTGACAGGTCGGTCTGGTGGCCCAGGAGGTCTCACTTAGTCATACGGTCCTCTGCGGATTGGTGTATGGGGACCCAGCCACACTGCACTTTAGAAATCCTGCTCTCCCGCAGGAGCGCCCAGGGAAAGAAGCCACCATCCGTCAGTGCAGTTAGCCTTGGCCCCACGTCCTCTCTGGCCCTGGCTTACATCTTCTGGGGGCTTTGTGGGCCTCCTTGTGCCGCCTCCCCCTGGCGCTGGGCTGGGGCCTCCTGCATTTCCATGGTTTTTATGATCCTGTCTTCTCCCAAGGCCTCCCTTAACCTCTGCCTTGCTTCCCCTGACCTTTCCCCACCTGTCTTGACTTCTCACCTCTGTTCCCCGCTGCCTGCTCCAGGTCTTCCCGAGCGGATGCTGCGGTGCAGACGCCTAGGTCTTCCTCAGAATAGAAGCACAGCCAGAGACTCAAAGAGGTCATCTCCAGGGGTGAGCTTTCTCTTTGCCTCTGTCTTAGCAGAGCATGAAGTCCCTGGAGGGAGACAATGGCAAATTGGATACAAATCTCTCCGTGGCAGATTCACTTTCCTGGGATTAGGCCGACTCTCACGCTGGCCCTCCCCAGATGGACTCTGCCCTGAGTCATTGGTACCTGATGGCAGAATGGGCAGCAGCTTTCCTCCCCTGACCTTCTCTCCTGGTCCCTGCCTCATCACCCTGAGTCCTTAGCACACCCCCTACCCCTGAGCCCACCCTCTCCCAACTTGAAGCCCCAATCCTCTGCCACCAAACCATGACCCTGCCCTTACTTCTGAACTCTGAGTGGCATTAATTGCCTCGAAACATGTCTTAGGCTCATCTCCCAGACTCTGGTCCCTGTACTCTTCTTTGGACAAGGTGAGGGCTCAGTTCCAATTATCCTGAGGCGGTGTTGAGGGGGTGGACATTGGAACAACCCCTCTGCCTCTGATCAGCGACCTGAGCAGCACAGGTGAGCAGTTTACCTGCAGATTCTGAGCCAACAGCATAGCCTCTGCTCTAAGACAGACAGACAGACAAGGGCGGTGAAGTATTCTGGTACATGTGGTACGGAGAGGCCCAAAGGAGAGTGGCCAGTTTCACTGGGGAGAGGCCGGGCTCAGCAAAAACCTCACTAAGAGGAGGAAGTGTGGAGCTAAGTCTTGGAGGATGGCTAGGTGTCCAGGAGGTGGAGGAGATAGCGGTGGGGAGGGTGTTTCAGACGGAGGGCACAGCCACTGCAAGGCCCTGGAGGGAGCGTTGAGTCCCACACACGGAATGGCCAGAGGGAGAAGATGGGGAATAGACAGGGTGGAAGGGCCTTGCCTCCCTCTTGAGGAGTCTGGCCTTTATCCTGAGCATCGTGGGAGCTGCTGAGGGAGTTAACCCAAGGGGTGACCTGATCAGATTCTTTGGTTTCCTCTGCCCCGAAGTCTTCTTACTTCTATCCCAACAACTGAGCTAGGCTCCCGCCCCCAGCTTGGGCTGGCACACTGTAGGTGCCAAGCATGAGTGCGTGGACACCACTCATGTCTCTTACCATTGTCCCTAAAATCAAATGCACAGTCCATGGAGGCTTGCCCTGCCGGCTCCTGAACAGCTGGCTGACCCACTCCGACGCCGCGGGCTCCCCCTGGAGTAGTGCCCATGCTGGGTGTCGCTTTATGAATTGGGCTGTTTTTGCCACCTGGGCTGGTGTCCCCACTCCCCACCCCATGCCACCCCCCACTTTTCCTCTTACTTGGCTCCTTCTCATCTGGAAGGTCTTGGCCACAATATTACCTACTTGGAGAGACTTTCCAGAGTGTAAAGAAGTCCCCACTGCCAAGATTTTCTCATGGATGATGCCCTTTTACTTTGTAGCACCGAACCTAGTTTGTTGTTATATAATTGCAGTTTGTTTGTGGTCTGTCTCCTCCATTAGGCTAAAACCTACAGGGCACATGGCTTTTGTCTTCCACTGCATCTTGGGGCCTGGCACAGGGCACAGGGTAGGGAACCAGGACTATGTGTTGAAGGAATGAATGAGGCTCAAACCTCTGCTCAGACTCAGGGCTCCTTAAAGATAGGAATCTGCCTCCCTTTTCAGCCTGGGCCCCCTTCAGCCCCTGCACAGGGCAGGGACTGCTTCCACCCCTCTCCCTTCTCTCCTAGGGTCTCCTTGCCGCAGTCAGAGCTGGAGCTGGAGCAGAAGTGCAGCCGAGGCCACTGAGGAGGCATTCACAACTCAGACCTGCAGCCTCCTCCGACCACAGAGCCAATGCTGTGGAACGGCCACTCGGCGCTAGGGATCTCCAGGGAAACCCTGCCAGCGCCCTGAGCTTATGGCCTGGCCTTAAACCTGCACCACTGGCTTGAGAAGTGCCACATCCTCTCCCTATCTTTAAAGATAGCACAGCACCTGCCTTCGTGAATCCATTTCAGTGAAAGTGTGGCTTAAAAACCAGAGCTGTACAGCAACATACACACACGCCCCAAACACATCCTCACTTCCACCTTCCGTCTTTTCTCTTTGCTCTTTCTGCATTCACCCCTCTGGCCCAGTCTCTGTGTCTCTGTTCCACCTATTTCTGTCTCTGTCAATCTGTGTCTCTTTCCATCTGCCTCTGTCCCTTGCTGCGTCTCTGCTTCTCTCTGCCACATTTTGTGTTTCTTTTCTGTCTCTGTCCACGTGTAAGTGTTATTCTGCATCTCACGCCCTCTCTGAGTTTTTGTTCATGTCTGCCTGCTTTGCTCACCCCCAAGGGCCCTGAGGTCCCTGCCACCCCTCATTCCTCCGTTCCTCTGTAGCAGCCGCCTCTCTGGGTGCCACTAGCTCACACTTAGCTCTCAAGGCAATCGTAGAAAGAAGAAAGGGAGGAGGATGCTAGCGGGGAGCTTGAAGCAAGTGGTGGGGCAGCAGTGAGAAGTAGAAGTAGCGCTGAATAAATACGCAGCTGTCTCTTTTATCTCTTCTTGGCAGGAGGCAGAAGCTGGGGCAGGGGCGGCTCAGAAGAATGGGCATGGAGGCAGACGGATGATGGGGCCCAGAGTGAGACCGGGAGACTCAGGGCAGCAGACAGGGCTGACATGAAAGGGGACGCAAGTTTCCATGACCTCTGGCTCCTGGCAGGAGACTTTCCACCCTGATTATTGGGGACAGGGATTGTTTAGGAGTCCAAGACAAAAGGATAAAATAAGGAGACTATGGGAAGGGCAGTAAGTGTGTGTGTGTGTGTGCACACACACACACACCCCTATGTTGCGTATGATAGTCACTAGTGCTATTTGCTAAATATTTCTGGGTCTCGGCTTCCAAATTGCACTCCCTGGCCCCCTTGTGGTTGGATGCGGCCATATGACCAGTTCTGGCCAATGGGCAGAAGAGAAAGTGTCACTTCCCAGCAGAAGAATGCAATTGCCAATGCAACACCTTCCAGAGGTCTTTCTTTCCCTCTGGCACTATGACCAGCAAGCTTTGAGCTGGTGGCTTCTCCATCAGCCTTGGCCTCGGGGTGATATGATGTGCAGAAGCTGTGACTGGCATGTCATGTGAGCAAGAAGTGAGCCCTGTGGTTTTAAGCGGGAGACATTTTGGAGTCGTTTGTTAATGAAGCATAGCCTTGCCTATCCTGACTGATACAGTATACAGGCCTGTGATTGTAGAGGTGTCCGTATGGAGTGTAAAGTGTCCAGGGATTGTGTGTTTAAGCATGTGTATATGCCAATATTTATTCAACACATAAATAAGCACATGTGTTTAGAAGTGAGTGTGTGTAAATACAAGTCTTGGTATTTTTGCTACACACCCAGCAAATGGCGAAGAAGGAAAGTTTCCCTCTGCTGCTGTCTCACCTCCTCTTTGAGGTAGAAACACAAAGGGCCAGATCTTGGGTCCCCCTTGCCTCCTAACCACATATGCCTAACTTTAACCTCCAAGTCTTCTCTTCCCAGCAGCCGCTACCCACTTCCCTGAGTGTTCCTGGGGTGGCTACTGCTTTTGGCTGCCTGGCACAATTTCCCTCTCTCCGAGCCCCAGGCAGAGTGACTGGTTCTGGGATGGGCATGTGGCCTGGGCCAGACCACTCAGACACCTTCCCCAGGATTTTGCTGCTGCAGCAAGCAGGGAAGTGGAGCGCCCCTTCCCTTTGGGGTGATAGACACAGGAAGGGGTGAGATGTACAGCTGTCCCTGCCATGGAGGGACGAGTGGCCAGGCCGGAAGATGCCGAGCTGAGAGAAAGGAACAAGATACTTTGGATCCAGTGCCGCCTGGTCTCAATAATGACATGGACCGGTGTGTTTATTTGCTTGCTCTCCAAGGCTGTGGTGGACTCTGGAGCCCAGCAGCCTGGACTGCAATCTTGCTAAGTGATGTGAGCACCTTATTTAATCCCTGTGCCTCTGTCTCCTCTGTGACGGTAATAGTGTAAATTTCACAGCATACTTCTGAGAATTAAATGAGTGGATTCACATTAGTGCTCAGAACAGTGCCTAGTGCACGGTGAGCAGCTGACATCAGCTATTATGATTTCCTAAACCAATGTGAATTGGGTTTTTGTTACTGGCAACTGAAATGGTTCTGGTTATCAATAATTCTGTCTTCCCAGGCTGATCAGCCAAGAAGCACCTGGTTTTACTACTACTTTTTCTTCTGGTTCAGAAACAGAAGCAGAAATCCCCTTTAGATTTTCACCAAGTCCTTTATCCTTCAATGGTAACTTTTACAGAGGACGGCAAAACAACACAATGGGAACTCCACTCAAGCAGGAACAACTGCAGAAAGCCCGGGTTGGGGCTTTCTGGGCCTTCTGTTAGGTGAGAGTGTCCCAGGCCAGCTCTCCTCGACCCCTCCCAACCTGGGGTGGTTCTAGGAGGGTGCTGGGGGTCAGGTAGGCCTGGGTGGGAATCCTGGCACTTCTGACCGGCTGTGGGACCCCATGTAAACATACAATCTTGTAGAGCCTCAGTTTTCTAATCTATAAAATGGGACTAATAATAATAAGAGCTGCTCCATGAGATTTTCATGACATTTAAGTTAATGCATATACTGAAGTTCTCCATAGATGTTGTGGTTGCTAAATCATCCTGGTAAGAGACTCCTCTAGTACGTGCTTTAGAAAGCAGCTCTTGGCCAGGCGCGGTGGCTCAAGCCTGTAATCCCAGCGCTTTGGGAGGCCGAGATGGGTGGATCACGAGGTCAGGAGATCGAGACCATCCTGGCTAACATGGTGAAACCCCATCTCTACTAAAAATACAAAAAAATTAGCCGGGCGTGGTGGCAGGCGCCTGTAGTCCCAGCTACTCGGGAGGCTGAGGCAGGAGAATGGCGTGAACCCAGGAGGCGGAGCTTGCAGTGAGCTGAGGTAGTGCCACTGCACTCCAGCCTGGGCAACAGAGCAAGACTCCGCCTCAAAAAAAAAAAAAAAAAAAGAAAGCAGCTCTTCTGGCCAGGCATGGTGGCTCACACCTGTAATCCCAGCACTTTGGGAGTCCAAAGCAGGCAGATCACTTGAGCTCAGGAGTTCAAGACTAGCCTGGCCAACATGGTGAAACCCCGTCTACTAAAAATACAAAAAGTTTAGCCAGGCATGGTGGCGTGTGCCTGTAGTCCCAGCTACTCAAGAGGCTGAGGCAGGAGAATCACTTGAACCCAGGAGGTGGAGGTTGCAGTGAGCCAAGATCCTGCCACTGCACTCCAGCCTGGGCGACAGAGCGAGACTCCTTCTAAAAAAAAAACAGGGGGGGGGGCGGGGGGAGTGGGGGAAGAGCAGTTTTTCTAATCGATACCTGGGCCGAATGTGAGCTTTGGTTCCTCAAACTTTGGCTAAGGGAGATTTGGGACGGCCCCATTGGTGGGATCCCAGTCCTTTCCAGAAACTGCTTCTGAATCTTCTGACTATGGGGGTCTCTTCTCACACTCCCATACCCTCCAGCCACCACTCAGGCCTGGGCTGGGCTGTGTGTCTCTGTTTTGGACCCTTGCCCAGGTCCTTGGCAGAGAGACACTCCCCTTTCCGGCCCCAAAAGACCCACCCCCTGGCTTTAGGCTGTTCTGCAGCCTTTTCGGGAGGAAGCAGAGGATGGGCCTCTGTCCCCCGATCAAGTCCCTTCTGTCCCTCCTCCCAGAGAGCCCTCCACTGCCCCCACCCCCCCACCCACCTCCTACTGAGTCGGCCTCCAACTCTCACCTCCCTTTCCCCCAGTGTGTCTGCATTCCTTTTCCTGTGTCAAAACCTACTCAAATACTTCCTATCCTAAAAAAGATCTCAGTAGCTGAGATCGTGGCTTGCACCTACGATCTCAGCTACTTGGGAGGCTGAGGCAGGAGGCTCGGTTGGGCCCAGGAGTTTGAGGCTGCAGTGAGCTATGATTATGATTGTGCCACTGCACTCCAGCCTGTGCAACATAGTAAGACCCTGTCTCTAACAAAACAAACAAAACAAAACAAAACAAAACAAAACACCCTCTGTGGGTCCCAAGCATCCAAGTCTTCATGTCCTCTCCTCTCTATCCTTTCCTGAGCTCTCAACAGCAAAGCTTCTGTGACCTCCAAGCCCTGAATATGCTCTTGATAAGCTGCCAATGACGAGGCAGACTTCTCTGTCTTGGAATCCTCCTCCGCCAGCACTGGGCTCCCAGGCCGACCTCCGTGACCAGCATGGCCCAGGCTCCCTGTGCCAAGGAGGGCCCACCAAGGGAGAGGCCCCCAGAAGATCAGAGGGAGGAGAGTGAAGCCAAGATCTTTATTTTCCTGATGTGTTCCCTGCGGGGCTTCAGGGGACTGGCTTTTTGCTGTGTCTCTCCACACTAGGCTACAGCTCCCTTCCAGCAGGCCCTCCCCATGGCTCTGTCCATGTCCTTTTGGGCCCAGCTCCCCTGTTCCAAGCCCTGGGGCTTCAGCATCTCCTGTTGATGTCCTTGCACCTTGCCCACACCTTTGCACCTGGCCTGAACCTTCATTAAACTCTCTTTGAATCACTCAGTTTGAATATACCTTGAGTTTACTGCCAGACTGGAATTGTTAATAGAAGGTCCAGCACCAAATCCATGGGAAACACCTGTGTTTTTCTCACTGGTGCTTTCTGCTGTATCTGATTGGCCTCCCTCCTTCAAAAGCCCCTCTATCCTGACCCCACCGCGACACAGTGCTCCGCCAGCTTCCTTTTCTCTCTGACAGTTCCTTCTTGGTCTTTCTCTGACTTAGGCCCTTGCTCTATTCTCTCTCCTGGGTAGTTGCCTCTACAGCCCTTGGGATTTCAGCCACCATGTACATTGCTAGTCCAGCCTTTGCCCATGGAGCTCAGGACAGAATATTCAGTTACCTCCTGGAAGTCGATACAGACACCCTCAGGTACCTTAAACTCAGTGCGTTCCAAACTGGACTTCTTCCCCTCAGCCTTCTCCTCCCATGTAACCTTTCAGAGGGTGGCACTGCGGTTCACCCACACCCAGGCCACGTACCCAGAAGTCGGCCTTGATTGTGATTTTGCTCACTCTGTCTTCATCCTTTTGGGTGCTGATGCTTGGATGTCCAAAATATTTATTGACTCTCCCTTTCCCTCAACTCAATCCTTATTACTCTGACATGGTTCCCCATCATCCCATTCCATTTTCCCCTCCCTGGACTGTGGCAGAAGCTTCCTAACTGACATCCCAGTCTCCGACACCCACTGTAATACATCTCCACATTACAAATCTGAACTGGTGACTCCCCTGCTCAAAACCCTTCAATGGCTCCCTATTGCAAGCTTGTTGGATGGCGAACAAGACTCTATGATCTGAGCCCTGCCTCTTTCTCTTGCACCTTTGTCCTGGGACTATAGAGCTGTCTCCACTCCCCTCACACTCCATGCCTCTCTGCCTTTGCTACACCGTCCCTTCTGCTTGCAATTCTCTCTCTGCCCCCTCCAACCACTGGCCACTCCTGGACAACCTTCATTGCTTCTTAAAGTGGTGTCACTTCTTCCAGACAGAGGCACAGTAGCCAGGTTTTATTTTTTGTTTGTTTGTTTTTAATCTCAAGGGGAATCTGGTATGTGAAGCAGAGGATGGGACTTGGCCATTGTTTGGAGGGGAAACCAGTACCTAAAAAACACCCCCTCCCCCCAGGAACCTTCTCGGCATGCCTTGCGTTCCTCCTTCCTTGCTGTTTTCCCTAACTCTTCAGGACTGAGAATCCCCTGGGTCTAATGGTGGCTACAGCCTTGCAGCTGCCAGACTGTGGTGTGCTGAGCTGGTCACTTCACCTCTCTGTGCCTCTCTGGCTGGGCTCTCTGGATAAGGTTCTACAAGGTTTTCTGTTTCCAGAGGCCCTGGGGTAGGGTAATAAGTGGTTATTAAAAAGAACTGTGAAGGCAAATCTCTGAGGCAGCAGTGCCTGTCTCCTCTGGAGGGCTTGAGTGTGCATCTGGCTTCCAGTGGACACAATGCAACCTTGGGCTTAGGCAAGAAGTCTTTTGTTCCTGTCGTGACAGCTCCACCGCCAGACCCCAGCCCTCCCTGAGGCTGCTGCTGCCGGGGCTTAGGCGCCTGCTGTCTCCTCTGCAGCTGTGCGCCACCTGCCTGGGAGATGGAGCTGAGTTGGAGCTGAGGCAGGAGTGCATCTGCCCATGGCAGGGGACTGGGGAGGGGCTGCCGAGCTGTGTCAGGCTGTGACAGGCCCCTCACCCCAGCTGGGCTGGGCAGGTCCCTTGGAGGGCTGCTGGAAGCAGCAGCAGCTTCCTCTGTGAGAGGGTCTTATCTGCTCCAGCACCCCCCATCCCGCCCAGCCCCTATGCTTCCAGGAGTTAGCTTTGCCCTTTCCAGAACAATAGCTTCCCTCCCCGTCTCTCCGCTCCATACCAGCTGGCTCTGGAGAAGAGCTGGCGTCAGGAAGACCCTGAGGACTGGGGGCGGTGGGTGGTGAGAGGCAAATGATTTAAAACAGGGCAAGAGGGACAAGCAGAGGGAGTGACAGAGAAGGCGCACACTGGCTCCGGCAGCTCTGGGAGGCGGCCGGACTTCAAAGACTTGCTCCGATGCTAGGCAAAGCAGCCCAGCAAGAAGCCTTTATTCTGCCCTTCCTTGGGGAGCAGTTTTCAACCAGGGACTTTAGGAAGGGAAAGAGAGAAGGGGAGTGGGGAGGGGTCACGTGGGCTCCGCTGTCATGGAAACAAACTCTAGGTGGGTGCCGGACAGGCGGCAGCGCGCACCCCCTCCTCGCCCCTCTGCGCCGTGCCCCGGCCGTGGGCGCCCCCGTGCGGCCACCATCGGAGCAGCCCGCCACCGCCCCGGCTGCACCCAGGGTCCTGGAAGTCCAGCCCTGGGCAGAGACAGGTCAGGGAAGTGAGGACCCCGATGAGGAATAGGCCCAGCCATTACTCATCTCTCCACACATCCATCACCCATCTACACACCGGGGCTCCTTCAGCTCGCCCCCTCCATCCTGCCACCTACCAGGGACACTGTTAGTGGTCAGTGGAAGGCTCTGGATGTCCCTCCATTGATGGTTACATTTCCTCTAGCCCCTTGTGCCTAGGAACCCCTCTTGGTGTACATCCCACTGTCTTATCTCATTAGGTGCCTGTCCTGCCTCTCCTCTCC